TCTCAGAAGTGGTGGCTACTTTGGAAGCTGAGATGAGTGAGGGCTTTTCAGCTTAGAGCCAGCAAGGTCTGTGGCTCTGACCTATAGTCCTTCGACTCCAGGGTAGTTCCATTTCAGTGACCAAACTCTTGGCTGGCAGAGCTGCCAGGGCACTTCATAATCTGACTTCTGCCAAAACCCTGGCTTTCCATATAAATCAATGCAGTTGACTGGCCTGTTGGGTCTCCTTGACGGCAGATCACTGTACAAAGTAGCCATTAATTGGCCTGCCACCTAACTTTACATTGCTTCTGATGCCTGGCTTTCTTTACCTCCTGGTTTTTGTTAAAGCAGACAAGAGGATGTAAAGTCAGGGGGGAGGAGGTGCTCAAGTCCCATCTCTAATTTTCAGTGGCCTAAACTAGAAGTCTATAGTCACAGGCAGGTATGGTAGTGGTTTTCTGTGAGGTAGACAATGCCCATGAGGAAAGCTATGTCCTCATTTTAAAGCTTTCCCTTCCTTTGGTCTGAAAGGAAGGTTTTGCCCGTTTACTGTGTCCATGGTTAGGTATATCTAGCCATGAGATCATAATTTAAGCTCTCACTCTGGCTATGCTATCATTACATAAAATGTTAGTCATCCCTTTTATAAGATCCAAAAATCAAACTGTACATCCTGGAGAGTCCTTCAGTATGAATTCAGTTTACAATATTGAAGAGAATATAGAAATGGGGGAAAAAGTCAAGCTTCCCAGATCACTTTTTGACAATAACAATATCAAATGAAAACTTATGAAAATATTTACCAATACCTTCTATAAATTTTAAGAATACATGTATTTAGAAACATCCCTTAAATCTCTAACACAGTTTAGCATGTTTAACCAGCAAACTAAAGCACAAAAATGTAAAAATATTTTTAGCTTCTTTCTACCAACAAATTTCAATTTTTTTGAATTTGCTGAAACTTGCTTTATGGCCTAGTATGTGGTCAATCTTAGAGAAAGTTCCATGCACTTCTGAGAATTCTGCAACTGTAGGAAGAAAAGTTCTGTAGATATCTGTTAGGTTCATTAAGTCTATATTGTCAATTAAATCTGCTGTTTCCTTGTTGATTTTCTGTCTGGTTGATCTGTCCATTGCTAAAAGTAGAGTATTGAAGTCTCCCATTACTATTGTATTGGAGTGTAAGCCTCCCTTTAAATCTCTTAATATTTCTTTTAAATAGCCAGGTGCCCTGTAATTTGGTACACATACATTTATAATAGTTACATCTTCCTGCTGAATTGATCCCTTAATTATTACGTAGTGCCCTTCTTTGTTTCTTTTAACAGTTTTTGTGTTAAAGTCTATTTTATCTGTTATTTGGATGGCTACACCAGCTCTTTTTTAGTTTCTGTTAGTATGGAATATTTTTTTCCATCCTTTCACTTTCAATCTGCGTGCATCTTTGTTGGTGAGATGTGTTTCTTATAGACAGCAAAAAGATGGGTTTTGTTTTTTAATCCATTAAGCCAGTCTGTGTCTTTTAACTGGAGAGTTGAGTCCATTTACATTCAAGGTGACTATTAATAAGTAACGACTTGGCCCTGCCATTTTTCTAAATATATTGCCATTTTTTACTTTGAATTTTCTTTGAACTTTGAGAGATTTTCTTCCTTTACCTTCTTTCATAGAGATGACCATGTTTCTGTGTTTCCTTGTGAAACACATCCTTAAGCATCTTTTGTAGGGCTGGACAGGTGGTTACGAATTCTTTCATTTCTGTTTGTTATGGAAGGTCTTTATTTGACCTTCATTCACAAATGAAAGCTTTGCAAGGTATAATATTTTGTGTTGACAGGTTTTTTGCTCTTAAGACTTGGACTATATCTTGCCATTCTCTCCTAGCCTATAGAATTTCTGGTAAGAAATTCACTGTGTGTGCAATTGGAGATCCTCTTAAAGTAATCTGGCATTTCTCTTGTGCACATTTTAGAATCTTCTCTTTATGTTTTATTGTGGTGAGTTTGATTACAATGTGTCATGGTGAAGATCTTCTCTGGTCATGTCTATTAGGAGTTCTATGTGCTTCCTATACTTGGATGTCCCTTTCTTTCTCCAAACTGGGAAAGTTTTCTGTTATTATTTCACTAAAAAGGCTTTCTAATAATTTCTCTCTTTCCATGCCTTCAGGAAATCGTAGAACCCATATGTTGGGTCATTTTACAGTATCCTATAGATTCCACATAGTGTTTTTTAGTTTTCTAATTTCTCTTCTTGTCTTTGGTTTGACTGTTTACTTTCATTTGCTTTGTCTTCTAAGTCTGATATTCTTTCTTCTGCTTCACCAATTCTGCTTCTAAGGCTCTCCAGTGCATTTATATTTGTTCTATTGAATTCTTCATTTCATTTTGATTTCTCTTTAAGATCTCAATTTCATGGGATTTTCTTTCATGTCCTGTACGAATTTCAGTAGTTCATGCATTTGTTTCTGATTACTTCTATGTAATCTTGTGATCAATTTTTTGAATTCCACCTCTCCCATTTCTTCTATGTCATCATCTTCACAATCTAGTATTGAAGTGTAGTGTTATTTTGGGGGTGTCATGTTGTCTTCCTTGTTCTTGTTTCTTGAATTGGTGTGTTTGTTGTTCGGCGTTTGTGGAGATACTCATTGTTTTTTGCTGTTGTTGTTGTTATGGTGGCTTTTATCTTTGTATGTACTGTAGATACGTGGAATGTCTGTTTTCAGTAAATATTTAGAGGCTTGTAGTGGGTGTGGCTAGGGAGCTCTGTTCAGTTCTCCAGGGTTAAGGGCATGCCTAAGGTAACACACCCAGGTTTGGCATGGTAAATCTTCTCTCTTTCTTTTTTAATCAGAAGGACATTTATTCTGCTCAGCTGAGCTTCTCTCCTCAAAGGAGACCAATGCCTAAGTGCTTGCCCTAGTGGATATAATATTCATCCACTCTGTCCCATGGATCACACAAAGAATCTGTTCAGTCCTCAGTGTAAGTTCAGATTCCCTAGCAATGTCTCTCACCGGGTAACCAGGAACCCTGGACCTTGTGGAGACTCCTACTGTGACTGCCCAAAGTCCCAGCCACACCATGAGTCCTCCCACACACCCTCAGTTTTTTTCACAGTCCCAGTACAGAAGACTCACACAGTCACAGGCTCTTAGCCCCTGTTAATTCTCCCCACCAGAGTCAGGAGTCCCCATTAAGGTGGTTGCTGGGTATGGACACAAGCTGGTGCAGCTGTTACATATGTCCAAAATGGCACCTGCTCTATTGGCTTGTTACAGGATGCTCTTGTAAAGTGATCAAGGAGAGAGAAATGTGTCCTTCCTTTTTTTTTTTTCTCCTCTAATTTGGCAGGAACACTATTCCCCATGGAGCTCCAAGCCAGGTTCCCTCTAGGATCTTACTGCAGCTTTATCGCCAATGGTTTGAGCTGCTGTGGTCTGGTCTTAACTCACTTTCCAACTCTGGTGCGTAGGCTCTCAGCTGCTGGAGTCCCAAGCTGTGGGCATCCATACCTTCTACTAAGGTCCACTGTGTCCCTCTAATTTTGGTAGAATTTCCTCTGCCATTTTCTCCCTAACTCTTCCCTGAGACTACACTCTCTCCACTTTGTTTAAACTGTCTTCTCCTGGACTAGAGCAGTAAGCACTCTCCCTACTCTGTCATCTTGGAACCATCCCATTAAGGCATATGATGGTTCATTTTCTGTGTCAGCTTGACTGAGCCCACAGAATACCCAGACATGTGATCAAACATTATTCCATTTGACTGTGAGGTTCTTGCTGGATGAAATCAACATTTGAATTGCTAGACCAATGAAAGAAGACTGCCCTCCTTAATAAAATGCAACTCATCCAATCAACTGAAGACACAAATACAACAACAGATAAGAGAGAGTGATCCTGCCTGACGGCCTCAAGCAGCCTTTCCTTGGTCTTGAGGATGCTAGCATTCAGACTAGAACTTAGATTATCAGCTCTCCTGGTTTTCACACCTTTCAACTTGTACTGGAACTACACCATTGGCTCCCTTGGGTCTCCACTTGCTGACTACAGATCTTGGGACTTTGCATCCTTCATAATTGTATGAGCCAATTCCTCATAATAAATCTCTTTATACACATACGTTTTATTAGATCTTTTTATAGGGCTAAATATATATTACATTTTAGAAATTTCTAAATTTCAACTAAGGCCAATAAAAAGTAGTAAAAAATTATCAATGTATATGAACTAGAAAATTGTATCAGCGATATAAATGGCCTAGAAACTGCTCAACATTATAAATAATCAAATAAATGAAACTGAAATTAGCTGCCATATATTTCTTTTCTGAAAGGAAAAAAAGTTAAAGGAATGATAATATGCTTCTTTGGCAGAAATGTAATAGGACAGCATTCTTTTGTACCCATATTCGTGATGGGACAACAAATGGTACAATGCTCTGTGGAGGAGCTATCACAGTATCAAATTGGAAAATGTGTGTACTACTCAACATGTAAATTCCTCTTCAGGAATTAACATAAAGAAATATGCTTCCAAATAAAGATACAGATATATGGATTTCAATGTACTATTATTGCTAAAGAAAAGAATTTACTGATCCAAAATTGATCAAATAAATTAAGATACACTCATATACAGGATTGTCACAAGACCATTAAATTAACAAGCACATTGGTAAAAGCTGATAAGAAAAACAGTTGTGATAAGCTGAAAACCTGCTGCATGGGAAAGGAAACATGCAGAACAAAATGCAGACCAATTCTATTTTTGCAATTATGAGAACAAGAGAGAGGGAGAGACACAGGGGGAGAGAGAGAAAGAGAGAAAGAGAGAGAGAGAGAGAGAGAGAATGTGTGTCTGTTAAAATCCCAGAGGAATACACAATTAGGTTGTTTTCAGGAGGTAAGGAAGACTTTAATTTTCCCATTTATACTTTCGTTTAGTTTGCAAGTTTAATTATGAGCATATATATGAGCATTACATAAGAGCATTAAAATAGCAAACTTACCCCATTGTAACAAAATCATGCAGAATTTTTGATAAATCATCTTACTTCAGATATGTGCACCTGAAAAACAGTAAGTCAAAAACATATATATATATACACAAAAAAAACCTCATATACACAATCTGTGGAAAACATTAAAGGAAAAGGTTCTCAAAGAAGTTTTTACATTTTAATTCTTTGCAAGAGTCTGCATCAATATCAGAGAAGCATCCCACATTGAACTATAAGTTATAATTTACTCCTGAGAACAATCTATATGTAGTACATAGTTAAACTATAAGCCAAATAATTTTTAAAAATGCAGAGTTCCTTTTTGCCATAGAAATCAAGACAGGAATTATAGGATAGGTTCAATTTAACTAATGTATTCAAAATGCTGATTAAATAGGTAACAGCTAATCCAATATCATTAATATCACAAACTTCAATTTTTTCATGCTCAGTGCTTAACTTTCTCTTATTTTTTGAAGCTTTTATCATCACTGTGATACCACAAAGCCAAGTGGTTATAGCAGAGGTAATTATGGCACATTTCTTATCACTAATGGGAGAAATTTTTCAGAATTCTTTTGGAAACCCATTGTTCATTTGTAGATGAGGTAATATTCACAAAGGAGAGTTAAAAGTAATTGACAGGAAGTCTGAGGGCTTAATAATGGTATATACAAATGATAGGAGAGACTGCAGAGACAGGCTTTCCCATGAATTCTACTCACCTTGAAATATATCACACAGAAGATTCCATGTACTAGCACATCACTAACTAGAATGGTAATAAACCTTTTAATATGTTGGGCTTGGACTTGTAATGAAAACATGACTTTGATGTTTCAGTCTTTTTGATGATCTCATAGAGCTAGGGATTCAGTTCACTGAATGTCAGTAATCCAAGATTTTTTTTAAAGCCTTGAATTGGTTGTTAGGAGTCCACTAACAAGCTCTTGGACTTTGATTTCAACATAATAGACTTCAGGGTTTGCATCTACAAATCAGACCTTTAGGTGATCTCTACAATCCCTTTCAAAGTGTCTACGAGTCTGAGAGATTTTATTTTAAAATAGAAATCACACTTTTATCCCCAAAAATATTATAAAACATTCAGTGAGAAATATGTCATAAGAGCATTAAAATATCAACCTATATCTGAGAAATGGCATCATGTGATGAGTGATAGAAAAAACTGTTTTACAGTTTACATTTCCTTAGGAAGAAAGTATGTAAATACAAACAGTTCATAGTCTGATGCATTTGTTTTTCAGACTTTAATCAATTTTCATCAGAATTTTGGTTTGATATATACCGACATAACAATGTTTGTTTAGATTCTAGAAATCAAGTTCAGTGTTTGTAAACCTCAAGATCTAATCATGTTGAATGTGAGCAAATTCCTCACTACTTCTTTTGTTTCCTGCTTATGATATTAAATGTTCTCATCAAATAAACCCAGGGCAACTTTCAAAATTAGGAAATGTCACAGATACAACACATCACTGAATTAAGTGTTTTAATTAAATTTAGGACTAGTAATTCAGCCCAAAAATCTATTTGACTCACTTTTTTTTAACTTTTATTTAGTAAATATAAATTTCCAAAGTACATTTTATGGATTACAATGGCTTTTTCCCCTCCATAACTTCCCTCCCACCTGCAACCCTCCCAACTACCGCTCCCTCTCCCATTCCATTCACATCAAGATTCATTTTCTTTTATTTTTTATTTTTTGACAGGCAGAGTGGACAGTGAGAGAGAGAGAGACAGAGAGAAAGGTCCTCCTTTGCCGTTGGTTCACCCTCCAATGGCCGCCGCAGCTGGCGCGCTGCGGCCGGCGCACCACACTAATCGGATGGCAGGAGCCAGGTGCTTCCCCTGGTCTCCCATGGGGTGCAGGACCCAAGGACTTGGGCCATCCTCCACTGCACTCCCTGGCCACAGCAGAGAGCTGGCCTGGAAGAGGGGCAACCGGGACAGAATCCAGTGCCCCGACCGGGACTAGAACCCGGTGTGCTGGTGCCACAAGGCGGAGGATTAGCCTAGTGAGCTGCGGCGCCGGCCAAGATTCATTTTCAATTCTCTTTATATACAGAAGATCAATTTAGTATATATTAAGTAAAGATTTCATCAGTTTGCACCCACACAGAACATAAAGTGTAAAATACTGTTTCAGTACTAGTTATAGCATTAATTCACACTGAACAACACATTAAGGACAGAGATCCTACATGAGGAGTAAGTGCACAGTGACTTAACAAATTGTTGTTGACTTAACAAATTGATACTCTTGTTTAAGGCATCAATAATCACCCGAGGCTCTTGTCATGAGTTTTCAAGGCTGTGGAAGCCTTTTGAGTTTGCTGACTCTGATCATATTTGGACAAGGTCATAGTCAAAGTGGAAGTTCTCTCCTTCCTTCAGAGAAAGGTACCTCCTTTTTTGATGGCCCGTTCTTTCTACTGGGATCTCACTCACAGAGATCTATCATTTAGGTTTTTGTTTTGTTTTTGCCAGAGTGTCTTGGCTTTCCATGCCTAAAATACTCTCATGGGCTCTTCAGCCAGATCCAAATGCCTTAAGGGCTGATTCTGAGGCCAGAGTGCTGTTTAGGACATCTGCCATTCTATGAGTCTGCTGTTATTTGACTCACTTTTAACTCAACTGATCTGCTGAGTTTAATAACCAAATAGGTAAGTTGTTTTCCTTACATACAATAAACATTCCTATCTTTAATGCAAAACACAAGCTATTCTGATGGTTTGAATCTTGTAGTAAATTTCTTTCCTATATAGCAAAGGAACAATCACAAATGTGAAAAGAATACCAGCATTACCTTTAAGACAATGTGAAAGGTGGCTTCTCACATAGATTAAATGAGAGAAATGTCCTAAATTGTACAGAAAAGAATATTAGGAGAGCCTCAAAAACATGAAAAAGAATGACAGAAATTTGAAACTGTAATAAAATGTCAAGCAAAGGGAAAACTAATGGAAGAGTGACAAAGTAAGTTAAATATGCAAAATACCATTAAGTTGAATATGCTTCCTAAGCATGGGTAATTCATGTGTTCTAAACATTCTTATGGTCAGATACATTCACAGAGAATATAAGCACTTTGGTGGAGGAGTGGGAGGAGTAAAAATAATTCAAACACTAAGAACACTAAGAAATGCTTCCTGGAGAGCTTCTTCAGTGGTTAACATTCTCACAAACATCCTAACAGTACCAGAGTTTCAAGGGAATTTCAAAACTCAGTCATTTCTTGCCCCATATACTGCCAATCACTGCTCTAATCACCATCAATTTTTCCTTGGACTATGAGAAGACTCTCCCAACTGATCTCCTTGCTTCTGCCCTTGTTCCTCAATTCATCTATTCTCAACACAGCAATCAGATTAATCTTGTTAATGCATACATAGAGCATGTCTCTCTCAGAACACTATGGCAATTCCCTTGTCACATAGAGCAAACATCCAAGTCCTGGGTAAGACCTCAAGGTCCTGGGTCCCAATAGCCTCTCTGACCTCATCAGCCACTATTTTCCCTTTTGTTCAAGTCAGCTTCTCCAAGGAGCCTTCCCTGGCCATCCTAACTAAAATGTTTATGTTTTCCCAACTGTGATATGTCATACTTGCTGTTTTACTTAAATTTTTTCTCCTTGTTACTTAACTAATGGGAATGGCACTTTTATTTTTCTTGTGTATTGTCTATAACCCCTTAGTAGAAATGTAAACATCATTGGATCAAAGGATGTTCGTTTTTTTTCTTTCATCATTATGTCCTTCACACATAAGCCCATCTCTCAGATAGCAGGTACTTCATATACATTAAGAGAGTGAATGAAGAAGTGAATGAATGAATTAACAAAAGGAAGGACAGGACTTTCTCTTGAAATGTCTCCTAATAAGGGCTGCATTACAACAAGACAAACTGAGTAAAAGCAATCTTTTAAAAAACGATTCTAATATTATCCAAATTCAGCTTTTTGAAAGTCTGGCTTTATAACAAGAACTTGAGAACGGTGATTGTTATCCATTTTTTGGAACATGAACTTCATTGTATATTTGGCAACAGAAGTCTATCAATTGCCAGGAAAAAATCCACGCAGATAAAATTATGGTTCACCATTTCAAGGAGTGAGCCAACCCTCTGAAATTTGGCCCAAACTCCCGGGTTATGATTTCCTGAATTTTCACAAATGCAGTGCACCTTCCTCAGGCAATCACCCATAAGAATAGCTCCATAAATTGAGCCACTGATGGACACAAAACTGTCCATTTGATATAATATTCTCTGACAATCCCCTGGAAAGTAGGTGTCAATTCTTACAGGTTGCTGTAACAAAGTACTATAAACTGAATGGCTCATAAGCATTCCTCCTGGATGGTGCTTTCTACCCACATCCTTACACAGAAGAAGGGGTGGTCAGGTTCCATTGGGCCTCTTTTCTAAGAACACTAATGCCATTTGTGAGGGTTACACCCTTATTGAAGAACCAAAGTGACTTTATTTTAAAACAAACAAACAGGCTGGCGCCGCGGCTCACTGGGCTGGTCCTCCACCTTGTGGCGCCGGCACACCGGGTTCTGGTCCCGATCGGGGCACTGGATTCTGTCCCGGTTGCCCCTCTTCCAGGCCAGCTCTCTGCTGTGGCCCGGGAGTGCAGTGGAGGATGGCCCAAGTGCTTGGGCCCTGCACCCGCATGGGAGACCAGGAGAAGCACCTGGCTCCTGCCATTAGATCAGCGCAGTGCGCTGGCAGCAGCGCACTGGCCACGGCAGCCATTGGAGGGTGAACCAACGGCAAAGGAGGACCTTTCTCTCTGTCTCTCTCTCTCTCTCACTGTCCACTCTGCCTGTCAAAAAAAAAAAAGAAAGCAGCCTCTGTTTCCCATAGTAGACCCGAGTCCTTGTAAAAGCAGGCATTCCGGCATTCCAGAAATGTCAAAGCTTACCAGGGACAGCTAGCTCAGTAGACCAGGACAGCACAGTAGAGATTGCTAAACAAAGTAACTCCCTGCACCCAAAGCTTCCATGCTGTATGTAACTCTTTTTTCCTGCTGATGTAGC